CTGATGAGGATGACGATAGTGATTACGATGATGATGATGAAGGCGATGTTGACGATGATGCTGTTGATGATGATGATGATGATGATGATGATCATGATGGTTGTGGTGGTGGTGGTGATGATGCTGCTGATGATGGTGATTATGATGATGCTGATGATGATGATGATGATGATGATGGTGATGGTGATGCTGATGCTGATGCTGATGATGATGATGATGATGATGATGATGATGATGATGACGGCGACTACGACGACAGTGATGACGACGAAGACGATGAGGATTACGATGATGAGGACCAGGAGGGGGAGGGGGCGCAGGAGGAGGGTCATGATGGGAAGAGGACGGGGAATCGTGATGCGGACGAGGGTGATGATGAAGGGGAGGATTGTTGATGAGGACGAGGGGAACGAGCGGGATGAGGACGATAACGATGAGACGAGGCGGGTGATAACGAGGAGGGCGAGGAGGACGAGGAACAGCACGATGGGAGGATGTGCAGGAGGACCAGGATAATAACGCTGAGGGTGAGGAGAAGGAGGCGGGGGTGGAGGAGGAGGAAGAGAACGACGAGGATGAGGAGGAGCAGCACCAGCATGAGGAGGAGAAGATGAGGATGCGGCTTGAGGGGCGGAGAGATTAGAGGAAACAGAGGGGCAATAAGGGAGAGGAGGAGGAGGAGGGACAATAAGGAAGAGGAGGAGTAGAACTATGTTACATGATGAGGGTGGCCACGATGATGTGGTGGTGGTGGTGAGGAGAGGAAGGCTTGCCATGGTACGAGGCTGCTGATTGTCATAGTGGTCGGGAGTCCTCGGGCACTCTTGGGCGTCAGTTGGGCCGTTTGGGGGCAATCTTGGGGCCGTCTTGCGGGCTTCTCGCCAAGTCTAGGGGCGATCTGTCTGGCCTTTTGGGCGCTGTTAGGGCCGATGCGGCGAACGTGCTGAACATCTGCTCTTAACCAAGGAGCTGGGACGATCTTTGCCTCTTGGGGCCCTCTTGGAGCCCTACGACTACAGAGGCTACTACTCATAGTTTTACTACGAATACTATTATTACTACTGCTACTACGGCGACGGCGGCTACTAGTACGGCTACGACTACTACTACTACTACTACTACTGCTCTTACTACTACTACTACTACTACTGCTACTACTACTACTACTACTACTACTACAACTACTACTACTACTACTACTACTACTACTACGACTGCTATTACTACTACTACTACTACTTTTACTACTACTACTACTACTACTGCGGCTACTACTACTACTACTACTACTACTACTACTACTACTACTGCGGCTACTACTACTACTACTACTACTACTACTACTACTCCTGCGAATACGACGACTACTATTACTACTACTACTACTACTACTACTACTACTACTACTACTATCACGGCTACTACTGGTACTCATACGTTTCCTACTACGGCTACTACTACGACTACCACTTCTAATGCGATTACTACCACTACGAATCTTATTCCTACTACTACTACTACTGCTACTACTACTACTATTACTAATACTACCACTACCAATACGACTACGACGAGTACTACTACAACTACTTCTACCACTACTATTTCTACTCCCATTATTATCAGTACTACGGCAATTTCTATTTTCTACTGCTGCTAGGACTACTACCACCACCACTACCAATTCATTCGGATTTCTGCTACTACTATTGTTATTATTACTACTGCTGCTTTTTCCACTACGACTACCACTACTACTATTACTACCAGTGTTACTGCTACTAGGACACTACGACTACGACGACGACGACGACTACTACTACTACTGCTGGTACTGCTACGAGGACTGAATCGTCACATCAAGAAACATTGTCCAGAAGAGTTCGTTCTCCGGGCAGCCGAGGCTAGCGTGGTGCGAAATCCTGAGCGCCTTTTTCAGGGATCGCATTTTTAGTTTTGAGAAGTTGAAGTTTGGCAGAACGTTGACGATTCCAGACAGGGTCTCACCCGGAGAAGTAACCCAGAAGTCCACCCAGAGAACAAACAATTTTCCAGGAGAGCGAACCCTTTCCCGGAGAAGAAACCTCTCGCGGCCTCTGCATAGCTCCAGAACTCAGGATGCTGGCAAGGATTAAGGAGGGCGTCAGGGAGGTAGGATTTTGATGATGATGCTGATGATGATGATTATGATCCTGATTATGATGATGATGATGCTATTCGTATTATCGATATGCTTATTAGTATTGCTTGTATATTATTATTATAATTATTATTATTTTTATGATTATGTTCATGATTCTGGAAATGATGTCGATGATGCTGATGCTGATGATGATGCTGATGATCATCATGATGATGTTTATGATGATGATGATACCGATGATGATCATGATGCTGATGATGATGCTGATGATGATGATAATGATTATGATGATGATGATGATGATGATGATGATGATGATGATGATGATGATGATGATGATGACGCTGATGTTTTTTTTTGTTTTTTTTTCTGCGCCTTGGACCCCTATGTGTGTCTTATCTTTGTGAGGCTGCTCCTGCGAAACTTCTGCTAGGAATCCAGATTCACCACTCTGAAATACAATGACATCAATGAGAGGCGGCGTGCGGTGCTTTGGACCGAGACGACCAGCGAAGAACGCAGGGCGAGGGGGCCGCACCAAAGGCCGAGAATGGCCCACGGTTGGCCCCGCCGACCGACTCGAGAGGTACGGCCGACTGGAGGAAACGAACTTAGTGCCTCGTGCGTTTCAACATCGAGCGCAACCTTTCACTACCCATTAAAGTGTTCCAGCGAGGGCTGCCCCGCTTGATCCCAAGAGAAATCAAAAGAGCCTCGGGAGTCGCTGGTTCCCTGGGGGCCTCCGCAACTGTCGTGGTGAGCACTGAACTCCCCTGGGGTCCCAACGCATTCGAGGAAGAGGAGGACGAGGCGAGAATCGAGGACGAGGTCGGGGGAGGAGAGGGGAAGGAACAGATCTCAGACGAAACACTCAGTGCAACGGCGGGGCTGCCGACAGGCAAAGCAAAAACATCGCCTGCAGCGGCCGCAGGCTCACGTTCACCATCAGGCCCACGTGCAGGCCCGTCAGCGTCTGGTGCTCTAGCTTGTCGGGCACTCAACCGACCAGCTGCACAACGTACTCCTGGAGCTCCCTCTCCATGAACGACGCTGGGGCCTTCCCCTGCTTGCGCTCCATCCCCGCCTGAACGCAGCACGCAATCACCGTCTGGCGCCAGCGCTCGTCTCGCAGCACAAAGGTGATCCGCTTCTTGTCCTTGTCGTACGTCTTGTCCAGACGGCACATCCGTATCATCTCCATCTTGTCCTCTACGCCGTGCGCGTCGAGCCACTCCATCATGTCCACGATCCCCTTCGCGTTCTGGGCGCCCACTGCGTCTCCGCGTTCTCGAAGTCCCGCCAGCAGGCCCGCGAACGCCCAGATGTAGGGGGCTCCGTGCAGGTGACCCTTCCCGTCGCGCTTCACCGCCTCCGCGTAGGTGTGGGTCTGCTCCGCCATCTTCAGCGCTTCCGCCCCGTCCACAGGGCAGAGAAAAGTGTCGAATAGGCATCCTCCGAGTTCTCGCATCCCCTGCGCCACCTTCAGGAGCTGCTTGACCATCACGAGCAGGAACCGACGTAGCCCTTGATCGCTGACACCTTTGAGCTTCTTGTCCGTGCTGCCTCCTTCCGTGCGTGACTTGACGCGGCGTGGCTCTTGGCCTCCATCTTTCTTGTCGTCCGCGGCCGCCAGCAGCGCGGGCATGGCGGAGGCGATGGCGCTCCACAAGGCGCGGAGCGGGGCGAGGCAAGTGTTCTTCTCGAGCGTGTGTGTAATACTCAGGTAAGTTGTCAAACTCGAGCCCACACATTTTACAGATGATCTCAGAGGGGACCTGTAACTCCCATGCTTGGTGCCCCCCTCGAGGCCGACATCTCCCAAGACTCCAAGACGCTTGAACGTGCTGGTTTGCGCTATCTTTTGAAGCATACAGACTGCCACAGTTCAAGCACTGGTTCGCAATCGCGCAGCCTCTAAGCGGGCACATGACGCCGTGAGACCCGCCGCGGGCCTTCGTCATATGCGCGACCAGCTTCTTCAAGGAATCAAAACACAGGCCGCAAACGGCGCCCTGCGAGTCGGTCAGGTCGCACACGAACTCCCCCTCAGGCTCCTCCGTCTCCTTGGCTCTGGGTGCAAGTTTTTCCCATATCTGATCTTCCCTCATGAGTGACACCTCCAGCAGCTTCGCATCAACTTTCAAGAAAGCTTTGTTCACCTCCTCGCAGCTCCATAACTCTTGCCAAGCCCTGCCGACCAGCGCCCATTCTTCGAAGAAATCCTCCGTGCCGCTGATGCCCTCCAACAGCATGAGGTCGCGGGTGAACTGCCTGGCGAACGGGCTGGTGCTCACCGTCAGCTTCCCTTCGATGTCGATCGGCGAGGGCTCGTCCTCCAGGTGTCCCCAGACAGCTGCAATAACCTGTTGATGAGCCAGAGGATGCCGCACCATATCTTGTAGCCAGCGTATCCTTTGCATAGCCAGAGCCGCCTTTGAGGGCACAACTCCCCAGCGCCTCATGGGTTGCTTGTTCGTGAGAACTTTGACATGTGTGTCGTGTGCCACCTGCGATCCACCTTCCATCACTCTCAACTTCTTGCAAATCTGAACATCCAGACGATGAAGTTCCGACTCGCTGAGTACGTAGCTGCACATGCCAGAGAGAGCAGCCCCCACTACCTTGCCCAAAAAAAGGTGTCGTCGTAATTTGTGAGGACTCTTGGCGAACCAAAATCTGCCCATGTCAGCCCATCCTTTTTTTTTAAAGCGTCAATGCGGTAGCCGACCTCGACACTGGCGTTGTCGTTCCATACGTATCTTCCACCAAGATGCCGTGCATGTGGTAGTATCTTTCCAGACCCAGGCTTGAGTAGTGCTTTAAACTTCAAGTTTCCAGAAGGTTTGAGCTCAGAGACCATCTCGCGCTTCTTCATGTTCTGTTTGAAGCCCCCCTTCTCGAGCTCCGTGATTGGCAACGTCTGGCTTTCCTCGATGATTGTGTGTGCGTCGGTAGCCAAACCAGACAGGATGACGTGGCGTTTCTTCAAATCGTCAGCGAACTGCACCACGGCACATGAAACAGGTAGCCCCAGTATAGGTGTCTTGAATAAGAGGAGGTCGTCCTGAGCAGCACACTCAGCAAGCCATTGTTGTACGGCTCTTCGAAATGCCACGGCGAACTCCTTGGGCGCCTCACAGGTCCCCATGAGACCTCCGCGTCCGAGGGCGAAATGTAACGCCTCGCCACGCGCCTCAACCTCCACGATGTGATGATGAATCCTGTCGTGCAGCAGGGCCCAGTCCACCGGCTCCGCCAGCTCCTCAACTGCCCCATCCAGCCACTCGAGTGGCGTGCAAGCGAAAGCGTTCGACATATCCAGCAATTCCGAGACGCTGCGAAGGCCTTTCTGTCTGAGAGCATATCCCACACAACGAGAGACCATCATCGCGTCCTCTCGCCTGCGGTGCGCCAAGTAGCCGTGACAAGTCGGATCGAAGTTCAATTCGCACTCACGGCTGCTCGGCTTCCGAAGGAGACCGCCGAAGAACAACTTCCAGAAGATGCAGACCAGGTGAATGAGCCTCTTGCCGTCCAGACCTCTGAGTCCGTTATGCTTGTCCAGGGCGAAGCCAGACGACCAGTGCGCAGCTGCAGGTGCGCGTTCAGCTCGACGTACATGAAGTAAGGCCTCCTGCATCTCCGAGCGGCAGCTGCGACAAGACTGCGCTACCTCCTCGATCGGTGGTTGTCCCAGACCACGTGGTGGTCTCCTCGCCGTAGTGCAATGTCCAGGTTCAATGCAGCAAAGTAAAAGCTCGACGGGAATACTCCACTGCACCGATCCTCTGCGCTTCCCACTTTTTCGCATAGCCCAGATCGTACGACGAAGATCGCGTTCAGCTAGATCTTCAAGGTAAGCACTCCTTTCCATGAGACAAGTGGCTGTGGTGCCACGACGGGCGAGAAGCTCAGCTCGATCAGCGCGTACTGCTGGCATGCCTCCCTCCGCGCTCGGCTTCGCCATGTGTGCATCGACCGCCTTGGCCGACGGTCGTGGCTCGGGCGTCGTAAGATACTGCCGTCGCTTGGTACCCTGAGCTCGTTCTGCCAACAAATGTGCTATCCGATGCATCTCATACGTGTGCCCCAACTTCTCAGCCTCCGCCAGGTCCGTCTCAAGTGACATGCGTCGTTCAGCCCGTCGCCTGCACGCCCACTGTCTGGGCTGCTTGGTGAGCCTCTTGATGGGTTCCACCTGCTCGTCGTCACCAGTCGAGTCGGACCCGCGAGAGCCCAATCCAGCCACTCGTGCTCGTTCCTCCGCACGAAGCGCCACTAGCCGTCGCCTCTCAACTTGCAAACGTGCCCCTGCGGTATTGTGTCGTTCAGGCGGGTGCGTTCGGACATGTGCCTGACCAGCTTCCTGCATCAGTTGCATCGCCAGACTCCAGTGTTCGTCAACTCGCCGATCTTCTCTGAGAGATATGAACTCGTTCTCATGCTGGGTGAATAATTCCTCCAACTGCAGTGAGAATAGATCTCGACCCTTTCCCGTTTGAAGTGCTTCCGATAGCTTCTGAAGGTCCCAGGTCATGGGCTTTGTTTTTGAATCAGTGACTCCGTCTTGCATTTCCAGAATGTAATCGATCACAAACAGAAGCGGTAGATGATCACGTGGGCGTCGATCAGGGATGATTTGAAGCCGTCTCCCATGAAAGTAGCTCACCTTGCAATCAAGGACGTTCCCCATAGCAGCCACTGGGATGAACCAGTGGTCAATCGTAGAGCTCGCCCCCTTGGAACCGAAGAACGTGGGCCCGCCCTCGGAATACCAAGTACTAGGTGAGCACAAGTTGCGAGTGTGGCACAGCTGCTCCGCGAGGTCGCCCGACATGTTCTGCTTGGCTCTGTTGTATTCTCCAGCATGTTCCTCTGCCACAGGAACCCCATCACTTCGTTCACCAAAGCCGCTGTTCACATCCATGCCCACCACCAAGAGAGAGCGGGCCCGCGTACCCTCCACTATGTTGTATACCCACTGGTGCGTCGCCTTCACAGCCCCCTCGTACACCGAAATATTCTTGCCCGTGGCGCCAGTGGGGGGTGGATATCCAACGACCAGGGTCACGTCGAACTTGCCGCTCTTCACCCTCGCCGCTCCAGCTCTGCCTTGAATAGACTTGGGCGGAGTGAAGATATCCACCACATCTTTGAGTCTAAACTGTCTGCCCAGTATGATCGTGCAACCTGCAGACCGATTCGTCCACGCTGAAGCCGCCCAGCCAAAATGAATCGCAGAGTACCCGTCGCCCAACTTCTCAACCTGATACTGTCGGCCAGACCAGCTTCGAATACGAGTGCCAGGAAGTAAGACGGCATCGGCTCCGAGCTCGTGTGCCACTTCGCGGCACCTGCCCACGGCAATCAGCGACAGCGGGTTGTAGAGAAATAGTCGAAGAGGTCCCAGCACGCGCATTCTCCAGCCATGCGCCGCGAGCCCTCGAGACGGCTGCGCTCAACAGCTGGGCGCCTCGAGGGAGAGGGTTGCGTCCGAAAAAGGAATGTCGGACGAGCGCTGCCCTGTCGCGCTGCTGGGTTGCGGTCTGAGCCCCAGTTGCGCTGCTGTTGTTGTTGATGACGATGATGATGATGATGATGAGTATGATGAGGAGGAGGGGGAGGAGGTTGATGGTGCGAGCGAGGAGGGAGGGAGGACGGAAGTGAGGATGATGATGATGAGGATGAGAAGGAGGATGAGGAGGAAAAGGAGGAGGAGGAGGAGGAGGAGTTGGAGGGAGAGGGCCATCCTTGCAGCCGTATCTGCGAACTTGTGGGGCGAATGTGCGCGGCGCTAAAGCGACAGCTGCACTTAACACACGACCCCTTTCGTCCTATTGCACGTTGCAAACTTTACAAGGCGGAGTCGCGAGGTGCTAAGGCGCTTGCGCCATTTTGAAAACGACCCCCTCCATCCCAGGAGCTGTTGTAAGCTTTTGACATGACTGTGCGCGTCGCTAAGGCGAAAGCGACAATGAGGAAACGACCCCATTCCATCCGAGTAAACAGCTGTTGCGAGCTTTGAATACGAATGTGCGCGGCGCCAAGGTTAAAGCTCCGTTTTGCCAACGACCCCCTCCATCCGTGTAGCTGCTGCAAACGTCAAGCTTAAAAATCGCGCACCTAGGTAATCCCAGGCAAAACGCCCAGCCCGCACTAGATATGTGTGTGGCAGGGAGGAACTATCTATTGGCAAGAGGGGTTCAGGTTGAGGATGATGCTGAAGATGAGGAGGAGGAGAGCCAGGAAGGCAGGATGCGGAGGTATATTTGGTTACGAGGATGACAAGGAGTTGAAGGGATGGATGGATGGATGGATGAAGGGAGGGAAGAGGAAGAAAAGGGGAGGGATGGAACAGGGTGGAGGGGAGAGGGAGGAAAGAGAGAGAGAGAGAGAGAGAGAACAGGGAGGATGCAGCAGGGAGTGGAGGGCAAGTTCTCATGCCCACATGCAGTAGAGGATCAGCACCCGCAGGCGACTGAAATATACACAATCGGCTCCCAGCGTCCGCATCCGGTCGCGGACGCAGGGCATCGCGCTCAGCCTCGGCGACCGCATCACGATTGTTCAACGCGGCGGACCAGGCCCCGGAGGCTGGCGGGAGGGGATGAGGAGGAGTGCAGGGGAGTAGGTCTCCTAAGGCAGAGGCAGAATGAGGCTAACCTCGCGCGAGGACAAGTCGGGAATTTCTGAGGGCCAGCGGGCCTGGAGGAGGTACAGTCGGGGCCCTGAAGAAGGAACCCTTTTCGTTGGGGAGGGGCTCCGCGTTCCTCACGTGTTTCACAGCTTGCCTCGGGCTTTCCTTATGTTTTCGACAGGAAATCGAAGGTTAACTTATGGAGAAAAGGGGCCTCGTTCCTTATTTAGGGTTCTTTAGGTCAACGCCCCGACTGTGTCGGGCGCCGCGGCTGCCCCGGAGCCTTCCAGAGCGCCCTCGGAGCGCTGCGAAAGGCTCGGGGGCGGCTCGGCCCCATCCTGGGCCTGCCTGGTATCGAGAGGGCCGAGCTGGCCTCGGCATCGCTCGGACGTGTGCATTCTTCTCTCGGCGTGGACCATCGAGGAGCGTCCTTGATCATTTGGGGAAACAACCACGCACGAAACCGGAAAAAAAACAGGGAATGGACGTCCGAGCGCCGTGTCGGTCTCAGTCAGCATCTGCCGTCAGGCATCGTCCCCATCGGGGACGGCCGCATCTCCAGGCGGCGCGCCTGGGGGAGAAGTGAGAAAAGGCGGGCCTTCCCAGAAGGCTCGGAAGTCCTCCCGCCTCCAGAAACGTTCTAAGCCTTCCCCGAAGACACAGAGCACTTCTCAGAAGGCCCGAGGTTATCGGGGAAGCCCCGCCGCCTTCTGAGGAGGCCTCCTCCTTCTCACTTCCCCCCCTCGCTCGCCGCCGAATCTCTGTCGCGCCGGAGACGTCTTGCCATCTTCGGCGTTTGGATGCTGTCTCCCAGGCTCCAGGGCGGTCAAAGATGACTCAGGATGAAGAGCCAGTCCTGGAGGGGCCGTCGGGGCGCCACGTTAGGGGGGATAGGCTCAGGGTGCACTTATCGACCCCCAATCGCCCGTTGCTCGCCGATAGGGGCCCGATGGCCCAACCCGTCTAAGATCGTGCGGTTTCGCTATCGGGGGCTTATCCCCGATCTATCGGCGATGCTATCGCCGATGCCAGCTCGACGTTCCCCCCCCCTGCCTGAGGTGGCCCCCTACCCATTGCTACCCCTCAATATGTCCTGTCTTTTGCTGACCCGCTTCGACATTTTCCGACTCACAGGAATCGCCAGTTCTACCTAAGCTGCCTCACGATGGGGGCTAGTCTGGCTTGCACACGTCCCGCCTTGCTCAATGCACCGCCGGTTGGAGCCACTGGCGCGGAAGAAGAGTGGGTGTTGAAGGGGAGTCTTGGCTTTCAATCTTCGTCTTCACTGCCACTAGGGATGGATCGTGAACGGTCTTTTGTATCGGGATGTAGGCGTCGGGAGTCCGAGGAGGAGGCGGAGGACGAGGAGGAGGCGGAGGAGGCGGACGAGCAACACGATCTGGATTGAGATCAGGATCAGGCTTTGGGAGCAGCAGGATCAGGATCTGGATCAGGATCAGGAGGATGAGAGGAGGAGAAGGAGGAGGAGGAGGAGGAGAAGGAGCAAAAGGAGGAGGAGGAGGAGGAATAGTATGACCAATAATATGAACAATACTGCTCGTAATGATGATGATCCTAATGCTACTACGGGTAATATTACTATTATCCCGGCAAAGCAACCTAACAGCGATGTGTAGGAGCATATCTGGAAGCATTCCCCTTAAGATTCAGATGAGAATCCAGTTGTAGAATTGTGCTGTTCTCGCAGTCGTTGTCGCATTCGCGATGACAGTCGCAGTGACAACGGCAGTCACAGACACAGCCTCAGCCTCAGCCTGCCTCAGCCTCAGCCTCAGCCTGCCTCAGCCTCAGCCTGCCTCAGCCTCAGCCTCAGCCTGCTCAGCCTCAGCCTGCCTCAGCCTTCAGCCTCGGCCTCAGCCTCAGCCTCAGCCTGCCTCAGCATCAGCCTGCTCAGCCTCAGCCTCAGCCTCCTCAGCATTCAAAATGTGCCCCGGGAATGGAGTTCTGGACTCGAAGAACACGAAGTGGCCTACAGTTGGCTCCGGGCATTCAAAATCATGCCCAGGAATGGAGTTCTGGGAACTCGAAGACCACGAAGTGGCCTACAGTTGGCTCCGGGCATTCAAAATGTGGCCCAGGAATGGAGTTCTGGGAACTCGAAGAGCACGAAGTGGCCTACAGTTGGCTCCGGGCATTCAAAATGTGGCCCGGGAATGGAGTTCTGGGAACTCGAAGAGCACGAAGTGGCCTACAGTTGGCTCCGGGCATTCAAAATGTGGCCCGGGAATGGAGTTCTGGGGACTCGAAGACCACGAAGTGGCCTACAGTTGGCTCCGGGCATTCAAAATGTGGCCCGGGAATGGAGTTCTGGGAAGTCGAAGAGCACGAAGTGGCCTACAGTTGGCTCCGGGCATTCAGAATGTGGCCCGGGAATGGAGTTCTGGGAGGTCGAAGAGCACGAAGTGTGTGACTGTTGGCTTAAAACGACTTCTGCGGCACCCTGTCCGGCACCCGCCCAGACCCCCCTGTGGAGTCATTTGCTGCTCTCTTTTGAGACCACTAGAAACCTATCAGCAAAAACGCTGTTAGGTATTATCCCGGCAAAGCAACCTAACAGCGATGTGTAGGAGCATATCTGGAAGCATTCCCCTTAAGATTCAGATGAGAATCCAGTTGTAGAATTGTGCTGTTCTCGCAGTCGTAGTCGCATTCGCGATGACAGTCGCAGTGGCAACGGCAGTCACAGACACAGCCTCAGCCTCAGCCTGCCTCAGCCTCAGCCTCAGCCTGCCTCAGCCTCAGCCTGCCTCAGCCTCAGCCTCAGCCTGCTTCAGCCTCAGCCTCAGTCTGCCTTCAGCCTCGGCGTCAGCCTCAGGCCTCAGCCTCAGCCTCAGCCTGCCTCAGCCTCAGCCTGCATCAGCCTCAGCCTCAGCCTGCCTCAGCATCAGCCTGCCTCAGCCTCAGCCTCAGCCTGCCTCAGCATTCAAAATGTGGCCCGGGAATGGAGTTCTGGGAACTCGAAGAACACGAAGTGGCCTACAGTTGGCTCCGGGCATTCAAAATCATGCCCAGGAATGGAGTGGAGTTCTGGGAACTCGAAGACCACGAAGTGGCCTACAGTTGGCTCCGGGCATTCAAAATGTGGCCCGGGAATGGAGTTCTGGGAACTCGAAGACCACGAATTGGCCTACAGTTGGCTCCGGGCATCCAAAATGTGGCCCGGGAATGGAGTTCTGGGAAGTCGAAGAGCACGAAGTGGCCTACAGTTGGCTCCGGGCATTCAAAATGTGGCCCGGGAATGGAGTTCTGGGGACTCGAAGACCACGAAGTGGCCTACAGTTGGCTCCGGGCATTCAAAATGTGGCCCGGGAATGGAGTTCTGGGAAGTCGAAGAGCACGAAGTGGCCTACAGTTGGCTCCGGGCATTCAGAATGTGGCCCGGGAATGGAGTTCTGGGAGGTCGAAGAGCACGAAGTGTGTGACTGTTGGCTTAAAACGACTTCTGCGGCACCCTGTCCGGCACCCGCCCAGACCCCCCTGTGGAGTCATCTGCTGCTCTCTTTTGACCCTACTAGAAACCTATCAGCAAACGCTGTTAGGTAAAAACTCAGAGTGGTTATGGTACTAATACTAATGCGGCGAACACTAAGACTAATACCACTACTACTACTTCTAATCGCACGGCGACTAGTACTAATTCTAGTACTACTGATACTCTTAATACGTTTTTAAACTGAGACTGGTCACACTACAGCTCTTTCAATTGTAATGACGCGGACCATACCGATATAACTGGTGACATTACTAGTACAAAATTATCCCGGCAAAGCAACCTAACAGCGATGTGTAGGAGCATATCTGGAAGCATTCCCCTTAAGATTCAGATGAGAATCCAGTTGTAGAATTGTGCTGTTCTCGCAGTCGTAGTCGCATTCGCGATGACAGTCGCAGTGGCAACGGCAGTCACAGACACAGCCTCAGCCTCAGCCTGCCTCAGCCTCAGCCTCAGCCTGCCTCAGCCTCAGCCTGCCTCAGCCTCAGCCTCAGCCTGCTTCAGCCTCAGCCTCAGTCTGCCTTCAGCCTCGGCGTCAGCCTCAGCTGCCTCAGCCTCAGCCTGCATCTGCCTCAGCCTCAGCCTCAGCCTGCCTCAGCATCAGCCTGCCTCAGCCTCAGCCTCAGCCTGCCTCAGCATTCAAAATGTGGCCCGGGAATGGAGTTCTGGGAACTCGAAGAACACGAAGTGGCCTACAGTTGGCTCCGGGCATTCAAAATCATGCCCAGGAATGGAGTTCTGGGAACTCGAAGACCACGAAGTGGCCTACAGTTGGCTCCGGGCATTCAAAATGTGGCCCGGGAATGGAGTTCTGGGAACTCGAAGACCACGAAGTGGCCTACAGTTGGCTCCGGGCATTCAAAATGTGGCCCGGGAATGGAGTTCTGGGAACTCGAAGAGCACGAAGTGGCCTACAGTTGGCTCCGGGCATTCAAAATGTGGCCCGGGAATGGAGTTCTGGGAAGTCGAAGAGCCACGAAGTGGCCTACAGTTGGCTCCGGGCATTCAGAATGTGGCCCGGGAATGGAGTTCTGGGAGGTCGAAGAGCACGAAGTGTGTGACTGTTGGCTTAAAACGACTTCTGCGGCACCCTGTCCGGCACCCGCCCAGACCCCCTTGTGGAGTCATCTGCTGCTCTCTTTTGACCCCACTAGAAACCTATCAGAACAAGCTGTTAGGTAACAATGAAGAAGAGAAGGAGGAGCAGGAGGAGGAGGAAAAGGATTGAGGAGGGTGAGGACAAGTAGGGGGAGGAGGATCAGGACCCTCTGGCCCTTCTTCTGCAACCACATGCGAACCCAACGCTTGCGGGTCCTGACGGCAGTGGAGAATTCGACCCCCCTCCGAAACCAAGAGATGTTTCTCTCTGTCACAAACATCCTTCAGGCTCATCCAAAACGCTGCCAAGGCGAGTTGCTCTGACCATGAAGTGTATGAGCAAACAGTGGAACAGTGATGGGGGGCAGCCGACAGACCGAAGCTCAAGACCAGCCTGCGCAGACCGAGGAGTCTACCGGAGATGCCTGCCATCAGGGCTTCTGGTGGCAGGGGGCCTGCGCCAGCGCTCTCCTCCTTGAGGGGAAGGGAGTCGGGGGCCCGGCAGGGGGGGTGGTGATACGCTGGATGAGCTGGAGTGGGACGCTGTCCCCGCGGGGATCTCGAGCCGTGTGACGGCCTTCCCAGGCCCCAGTTGAGACACCCAGGGCAGGGCTCCTTTCGATTCCTCCGATTCGATTCGATTCGATTCGATTTCGTCTGCTTCCGATTCCGACTCGATTCGACTTTGGATTCCGATTTGGGCTCAGATTTCTCTACGGAGGGCTGCTAGCCTGCCGATCTCCGCCGATTCGACTTTTCCCGACTCGGCTGCCGATTTCCGCCGATCCGTTTCATTTCGATCGCCGAGCCGACTTATCGATTCGATTCTGGACTTTCCTGCCAGGGTGATGAATGCGCATCCGCCCCTGACAGCCGGGGCCAGGGTCCCCGGTGACCCCGGTGAGCCCCCAAACGGCAGAGAATGAAACACTGAGCCCCCCGTCGGTGAGCCAGGGGGGGTGGGCTGGTATACCGACGGGGGGCGGATTGATGTTCCTTGGCTGGTTTTTCGAGGTCGCTTCCCCCCGTCCTCAGGGCCAAATCAGGAGGCTCGCTGCCTCTGTCCAGTCAGCACTGGGGGGTTGTTCCACAGACTCCTGGGGGGGGTACGGCGACGTTGCGCTGAAATGAGGACCATATGGCCAAAAAAGCCCCCCCCGTTATTTATTCAGCGCTCATTCTGGTAGCACGCCGGGGGGGGGGCGGCGGATCTTCCCCAGACGTCGATTTGGCGACCGGTCGGCCGGTCCCGTTTTGGCCACGTTCGCAGGGCAGGCCTTTTGTGCGAGTGCGGCGACGTCGGCATGACAACTCAACCACTTCGATCCCCTTCTCCTGCAGCATTTTTTCGGCTGAACCCACTCGCTCAAAGTTTTTGTCGGTGCAGGAGTTGGGAGCAGAGTCGCCGCAGGACCTGAGCAGCGATGAGCTTCGCTGTCGGACGCAGCGGGTCTTTCATGGCAGCGGGCCCGCGCGGTGGGTTCGCTGCGGGCTCCCGCAGGGCCTGCGTCGGTGGCGGCGCGGGCGGCGGCGCGCTCATGGGCAGCGGGATGTACCCCGGCGGCGCGGGCGGCGGCGCGTTCATGGGCAGCGGTGTCTACCCCGGGATGGGCTACGCTGGTGGCGGAGAGGCGTGCTGCGGAGGCCCTGGCGGTGGCGCGTTCGTGGGCAGCGGCGTCTACCCTGGGATGGGCTACGCTGGTGGTGGAGAGGCGTGCTGCGGAGGCCCAGGCGGTGGCGCGGGCTGCGGGGACGGGTGCGGAGTGGGCTGCGGGGGCATCGCCGGAACGACGATGTCGTACGTGGGCATGGGCGGCGATTACATCGCCACGACCACCTACCAGTACGTGGGCCAGGGCGCTGGCACCTTCGGCGTGGTGCCGATCCCTGCGGCTGGGTGCAGCCCATGGTGGCTTTGCTGCTTCCTGCCGCTGCTCTTCGTCCCCTTGCTCTTCCTCGCGGGGACCACCACCACCACGACCACGTCCACAACGACCCCTGCCATCGTCACCGCGCCGCCTCCGGAAGTCGTGCCGACGCCGCCGCCGAAGGAGTGCTGCATCGACATGTGCAACTGTGCCCGCGATGGGACGCAGTGCGACGATGACTGTGGCTCCGAGGAGTGTACCGATTTCGACGACTGTGATGAGAAGGGCATCTGCATCACGGGCACTCCCGAATGTGAGAACCCCACGCCGGCGCCGCCGCCGCAGGGGCCCCAGAAGCACTGCAGGATCTTCGGTGACCCGCACGTGGTGACGTTTGACGGACAATCAGCAAGCTTCTATTCTCAGGGCGAGTATTGGATCGTGAAGAGCACCACCGTCTCGATGCAGGGACGCTACATGCCGACTCCTGTGACCAACGGACTCTCCGTCATGAAGGAGATCGCGATCGGCGGCCCCTTCCTGGAGGGCAAGGACGGCAAGAAGAATATCCTCCGTATCTCCTCCCTCAGGGCGACCTTCAACGACATTCCTATCATTTCTGGCTTTCCGGATGCCTGGGAGAACCAGGATCCTATGATCAAGGTTGTCACCGACGGCAGCGGGCAGGTGATGCAGTCGAGCCGCACCGGCAAGGATATGCGCGTCGTTCATGTGGACTTGCCGCTCAACATCCACCTGGAGATCAACCGTTGGAACGAGCCAGGCGAGGGCGACTACATCAACACGATGATCACCATGAGCATGCAGCCCAACCAAGATGGCCACTGCGGAAATTTCAACGGTGTGCTCGACGACGACACGAGGCCGGCGATTCGCGCCCGCATCGGCACCACGGGTGTCCCGCCAGCGGAGCTGCTCTTCCACACCAAGACCCCTGTGACGCCCGTGAACCGGCCCGACCTCAACAACTGCGCGCCCGACAAGACCGAGATGGCCAAGGACCTCTGCACGAAGAAGTCCAAGACCGGCATCCCCAACAAAGACTGCATGATCGACGTGTGCTTCGGAGGGGCGCACTTCGCCGACATGACCGACTACGACGAGTGAGGGGCGGCAATAGTACGTAACACCACGATTCCGTGGAAATGTCGCGTCGTGGGTGTTGTAGTCAGGTAGGGACATTCGGCGCCTGGGACCCGAGCAATCTTCCGCAGAGACTGGGCAAAGCTACTGGTCAAAGCGGTGCTCGAGTTGCTCTATGGGCGCTGTGCTCCCGCTTCACCCTCCGAGTCGCCGCCTGGCACGGCGTGGCACGGCGTCCAGAGCGGCAGAGGCGAGCGTGCGAGGCAGAGAAAAGCTAGCCGATCCCCCACTGCGGCCAGTACGGGGGCTTAGGCGAGACACGATGGCTTGCACCGCATTGTGCTGGCATCCGAGAGCAGCGTCGAGGGTCCCTCAGGAGGGCTCTCTACGTCAGGAACTGTCACCGCCAGATCACTCGCGTGCGGTGTGTCTGTGATTGTCCGTGGCCGTTTTCTTAATTTGTTGCTATTCTTTTTTTCGCCTCACCCGGCCGCCCAAGATCAGAGGCAGAGACATAGCACCACAATTATCGCGGGCGACTCTCTCCTACGCATCCTCGACACCCGGCACCCATACCCCCCCCTTTTGGGAAGTGGCGCTTAGGTGGTGAATTGGGGCTGCCGATGGGGATCGTGAGGCCGACTCCTTGGCCGCATGGCTGGAGGCGTCCGCTCGCCGAGTGTTTAATCACCTTGAAGGGCCAGGGCGGCAGACACACCGCCAACGCCCATCGGGTCGGCGGACCCGGCGGATCATGACCGGCGGCCGCCTCCTCCTTCCATGCCCCAGTTGATCACCACCCACCAGACCACCCCAACCCAACCCGAAGGCCCCGATTTGCCCTCCATTTCCAGTGGGGGGGGGTCGGGGAACGTCGAAAAAACACATATGGAGCCCGTACCCCCCCAACCCGAAATTCGGGTCAAATTCGGGTCTTCGGGTTGGGTTGGGGTGGTTTGGTAGGTAGTCAGTTGATCCCACATGTCGCGCGCGTGTGCGCGCGTGGGCCTCCTCTCGGAGCAACCCCCTCCGGGGGGGGAGGGAGACAAGGGGTAGAGGGAGGCCTCGCCTGCGTGCCCTGCTGGCCCTGCACAGTGAACACCGTGCGCCCTTCCTGCAGGATTGGTGGTCGGGCTGGCCCAGTGAGGGCGTGATTGGGCTTCGGGGTCTTCCCTGAACCCTCCCTCGCGAGTCCCCTTACGCGCCACCTTGAGACCAGAAGGGGGCATAGGTTGCGTGTCTACCAAAGTTCGGCAGCATCCCGCCCAGTATTTCCTTGCCCTCGCGCCCGTCTCCTCCATCATTCATCAAGTAGTCACGGATCTTTCGACATGGGAGCCTCTTCGTAGCTACTCGGGCCATCCTGGGTTACTCTTGGGGCCACTTGGGAGTTCCCTGGGGCTCTTTCGGGGCCTTCGTGGCTTGGGCCATCTTGGAGGCCATCGGCCCAGAGAGGGGCCGGCGCGGGTTGGCGCTCCCCCGTCGGAGCGTTCATCACCGCCTCTCGGGTCACTCCTGGGACGCTGCTGGGGTGCTTCGGGGGGTGCTGTCTGCCCAGTCTGGGAGCCCTGTTGGGGCCCCTCCCTAACTCTACTGGGCCATCCTGGGGCCATCTCGAGGCCTCAGACGCCCCTCGGAAGGGAACGGGCGAGAAGGCCAACAACATGTGATATCATTTGCGCTTTTCATGGGTTTGGACCCTCGTCGTCGTTGGGAGGCTTCGTGACCACTTAGAGCCGTCTTGGTCTGGGCCTCTTCGGGGCATGCTGGAGGCTATCTGGAGACATCTAGGCTATCTTGAACGATATTGGATGGGGTCTACCTGAGACAATCTTGGAGCTATCTTGGAGCCAACTTGGGCCAACAGGGGCATGCGCAATCCCTGTCATAAACGAATGCGGGGTGATCGCGAGGAACCCGGTCATGAACCAGAATTTGCCGCAACATGCATTCTGTGTTGGTTCTGTCAGGGATCCTGAGCCTGCACAGAGCAGTCAGCATGGGGGCACACCCCGCCGCTCCCTCTGTCAGAAGCCAGTGCATCACGATCGCGGGACGCCCGCGCACGAGATGGGCACGGAAAGAATGGGCACGGAAAGAATGGGTACGATGCCCAAGAGCAGTTCCTGTTTATTCTGAACAGGATTCGCTGTCCACGCCGCCGCGGCCTGTGTCCATTCGAGAGAAGGCCGCCTGCCCAACAGCGGCCGCTGTTGGTTTGGGACAACATTTGTTGTTGGGCATTGTACCCATTCTTTCGGTACCCATTTCGGGTGTCCAAACACACGGTGCCCTCGGTACTGCGTGTCGCCAAGGACGGCGGGTCCGTGCAGGGCGGACATTCGGAGGGCACCGCCGCCGCCCCAATGCAAAGTGATCCTGGGGCGCCCGCGCACGGTCCAGGTGTTGCCGCACAGTGTAGCCTGCGTAGTGCCTGGACACGGAGGGTAGGCATGCGCAGCGGACAGTAGGAGGACCCCTCCCGCCGTCTTCTTCACGAGCAACACTGCGGAGTGCTCACGGCGCGCCCGCGCCGTGGTCCAGAAGTGGCCGCAGTGTGCATTTTGCAGCTTTGTTCGCTGAAAGGAAGGGCGGGGGGGTGTCAACGGTCGGGTTGGAGGGGGGAGTGCATATCAATGAGGAGCAGTGGTCAAGTTCCCAGCGGGAACGCCGCAAGATGTCTCACTGACTCCTGCTCGCCCTCCCACCACCTAAGTAGCACCCGGGTGTCAGTACAGTGGAGGCCCATGCCAAGAAACACCTTGCTTGCCTCCAGGGTGTCCTGGATTTCTTAGGTTTCGATGGCTTTGCTATGGAAAGCGTGACGTTCCCACACCAAAATCCAATGGACGTCCTGGGGTCTCAGGGTTGGGTTTGTGGAAGGTTTCTTGTGGACTGTCCTCCACTGTATAGGCAGGGGCCGCCATCGACAGCCATCGTGAACAGATGCAGACGCCAGCCAGGTGCGCGACCCCCGCGCGGTGCGCCGCGTGTGCCGGGTGCGCCACGCGCGCGCCAGTTGGGTGCCCCGTGGGCCCGCCTGGTGCGCTAGATGCACCCCGTACCTTACAGGTGCCCAGTGTGCCACGTGCTCCAGCCGCGCCAGGTGCGCCACGTGTGCGTTGGGCACCGTGCGCCAGGTGTGCCAACGCAGGTCGCAGCGCACGTCGGGCATCATGGCGACCCCCCCACCATCCCTGTCAAGACCATCCCTGTCAAGACCAATGCAGAGTGGCGGCGGGGCTGCCATCGTTGTATCGTGTGTGTGCACCCGATTGCAATCACTTGAAATTCGTTTTTGACAGGAATGGTGGGACTGCGCACTGTGGGCAGTATGATGGCATCCCTACCGCCCCTGACAAAAAATCATGCAAAGTGATCGCTGACCGCCCGAACATTATTTTGATTTTGCAACACAATGCATTTTGCATTGTTTTTGACTTGGATGTGGGGGGCGGTTGAATTGGTACTAGCCAGTGGCTGGTCGAGTGAGGGAGAGGCTGTCTTATCAATAAGGACCAGTGATCAAACCTCTCCGCGAAGGGGGAGAAAAGGCGTTAGAAGAACGGACACTCACGTCCTCAAGGGCTGGTGGGGTTTTAAAACGCTGTTCCAAAAGGGTCCGTAGGAGTACAGTCGCGACCGATGAGTAGGTCGGCCCTGCAACATTCCTCTCAGTGCCTGGCTTGCTGTACCACGTGCCCTCTATTCTAGCGGCGTTGCCGCTCGCGAGAAATTCACACACCACCAGCCGCGCGCTTGGTGGAGCATGCTCGGAGACCTCACGCGTTCTTGTCTGAGCTGCGCTGTCCCTGGTGAGCCAAATCGTGCCCTGGCAGGAGCCGCGCGCCCTCTCGGACACCCGCTCTCCGCGGCCGCGGCCGTGGACCTCCGAAGGCGTGCACGGGGCCACCGGGAGCCTCGGGAGGTACTTCCCGCGGAAGGGGAGTTCGGGAGCTTTCCGGGGGCCTCCGCCTCCAGAGAGGTGGCCCCCGGAGAGTCTCACACAGCACGGCCCCGGAGACCAGGACAGGGAACAGCGGGAGAAAACGAAGAGAGTGATCGGAGGAGGAGGAGGAGGAGGAGGAGGAGGAGGAGCAGGAGGAGGAGGAGGAGCAGGGGGAGGAGGAGCTGCTCACGCTGCCACGGCCGGGTGCGCCTCGGAGTCCTGGTCAGAGCGCGCACCCTGGCGATGCCCGGGGAGCCGCGGCCTCGATGTCTTTTTGACCTCGGAGGTCGACGGGCCTCCTGCCCCGACACGTCGATTAGCGAATTGGCCGTTTTCGGTTCGCGAGAGGGCGTCGCGGCCGTCATTTTCGCGGGTCCGGGTCCGTCGGTTTTGGTCCCAGGCCGTTCTCACTAAGGGGAGGTTTACATTCAGGAGAGGTTTGTCCACCGCCGATTGTCCTCTCAGAGTGAGGAGCGTCTCGACCCGCAGTTGTACGGTGCCAGGGGGCCCGTTCGGGCCCCCCCTTCTCGAGCGAGCCCCGGGGAGCCCGTCCGTGGCCACGCGAGGGTTCCTGGAGGCCTCGAACCGCCCCCCGGGCCTCCATCCTCGATCCCGCCATCCTCGATCCCTCCATCCTCGAGCATCGAGAATAATAAAAGCCCTAGCCCTAAGAACACAATGAAGACGTAGCCTAACTCAGAGGTCCCCGTGCTTGCATTGGGGATGATACATCTGAGCGGTTCAGTTTGATACCTCCGCAGAGAAGGCATCCTCTGTCCCTGTTGTCTTGGGCCTCTCAACTCGGGTCCCCTCCCAGAGGATTCATGGTCTTTTATTGCTTATCACCCGAGCCTCGATCCTAGAGCCTCCGTTGCCTGCCGTTGCCCGCCGCTTAGCCCGCCGGTGCCCGCAGGTGCCTGCCGTTTCGGTGCCTGCTTTTCTGCTGCCTCCCCAGGCCATTCGGTTGCCTGCTCGGGGATCGACGTTCGATCCATCTGCTGCTGCCCACCCCCACTGACCGCCACGGGTGGGCATGGCTGCAGAATTGGCGCCCGGAGGCTTGATCTTCATCCATGCCCCTAACTGCTCCCGCCCCCTCGTATCGGGGAGTTCTGTCGTGAGCAGGGGCATTTTTAGGCCCCCGAAGGGGGTCCGAGTAGATGGTGTCGAAGGATCGCCCCGCATCGCCGATGCATCATCGATGCGGCTTGATGCGGAGCCTGATCTTCTCCACGCCGACGTCGCAGATGCATCGGCGACGTCGCAGCTGCATCGGTGACGTCGGCGCGATCTTTCAACCCTAACTGTTCGGACCCCATCCGGGAGGCCTCCATTCAGGGATAAGACGCAGATCGCGGTGTCCTCCGCGGGGCGCGGGGCGCCGTGGCCTCGGGCGTCGTCGTCGTCGTCGTCGTCGCCATAATCATCATCAGCATCATCATCAACAATATCACCAACATCATCAACATCATGATTACCACCATCAACGTCACCATCATAATCATTCTCATAATCATCGTCGTCGTCATCGTCGTCATCGTCATCGTCGGTCCCGTCATCGTCATCGCCACCATCATCGTCGTCACCAGCGTTATCATCGTCATCAGTATCAGCATGATTATCATCGTCATCAGTATCTTCACCATCGACATTGATGACATCATCATCATCATCATCATCATCATCATCATCATCATCATCATCACCGTCATCGTCATCGTCATCGTCGTCATCGTTGCCATCGCTATCACCATCACCATCATCACCAGCATCATCATCATCGTCATGATCACAATCATCATCATCACACTTATCACCATCACCATCA